AAATACTTTCGGACCCAGCTTCAGCCACAGAGAAAGGTTTCAAAGATGCGTTTTAAAATTCGGCTCCTACTTGCTTCATTTTGTGTATATAAAAGCTATCTAATACCACACCCCACTCCGCCCCGCCCCCCGCAAAAAAGTTGCTTTCTCATATCATTTTTTGGTGTTTTCCTTCTTGTTCAAACACAAACATCTTAACAATTGACCCATTAAGACACCCAACCCAAGCTCACATGCTTGATTTGGTAAGCTTGACCTCTGGTCCTAATGGAAATCCTTAACAGTCCTGGGAAAAATACTTGAGACATCAGGGTTCTAGGTTTATAAAAGTAATCCCCTTACATTCATGTTTTTTAAAATAGTGCAGTCTCCACACCAATCCAAAATTGTGCTGGAATGGAGTAAACGAAAAGGTGCACTTTCATTAATAATAACAAAATTACACAAATATCTTCCTTAGAGAAAAATAAGTTGACGGAAAATGAAAACATTGGTTCATTAAAAAATAATCGGTAGTTTGAAAAGACAGTATTCCCACCCAGCCTTAAAATTTGTGTTTCGAATATTAGGTGAAGCATTTGTTTCTTTACAATCAGCCAAAGGGGGGTACTAAAGACCTTAGAACTTTTAGAGTCTTGTCCTGGTTTTGCTAGAAAACTGTATCACCTTGAATAAGTCATTCCCTTCTCTGGGGCCTGATTCTATGTTCTGCAAAATGAGTTGCATTTACTTTTAATTCTATGCCCTCGGGCTCCTAGCTTTAAAATGAGCTGGGGGAAGAGACAAAGTTTCCAAAACTTCAGTCTGGCCTGCCCCCCAGAGGTCTCTCAGACTGGCCAATTACTCAGCCTAGGGGCACACCCAGCAGTGCTGATCATGCCCAAGCCGGAAGATAAGGCGTAGCTATGCGCTGGGCCTCGGGCTTCGGGGGCCACTCGCATTAACTTATCAATGTAGACCCTTCCTGGCCGGCCTTCCACCGTCCTCCGCAGCATCGGGAGGGATAAAGCCGCCAATCTGAAAGAAAGACCCTGCAGAGTAAAGACAAGTCTTTTCTAAGCTGTGCGAATGTGTCACTCGAAAGCCTGTTCCATTCCACCCCACGTGTTTCTGGAGTGGGGACCCAGGGGTTAAATTGGACCCCCTCATCGTCACCACCGTCCCGGGAAACCTGTCATTAAAGTCAATTAACTTTTCCCACACCCCTTGGCCGGCAACAATCCGCAGCTAGCTTCCTCCCGGGCTCCTAAATGCAACCAGATGGGAGGCCAACCTGCCCCCTCCGCTTGTCCGCAGGTCGGCCCGGAGGTTCCAGGGACGCTGCCTGGACCCGCGGCCCCAGGCGGGATCGGGGCAGGGCGGCCACATCGGGCCGGCCCCAGCGGCCCTGCGGCCAAGGTGGTTTGCTTAGCAGGCCCGGCTGCTTTCTGGCAGGAAATGAATAGCTCCCAGATGAGCTCAGGCAACCTGAGAAGTCGTGAGAACGGCGCGAACCCCCGCCCGTAGAGCCGGC